AGAGAGAGAGAGAGAGAGAGAGAGAGAGAGAGAGAGAGAGGAGAGAGAGAGCGCTGCCTGTAATACATCTCTGCCCACTGTACAAGTGTGGAAACTGAGGCCCTAGGGGCAGCAGCCAGAGGCTGGGCTGGAGCTGGCTGTGTGACTGTTGCAGGAAGCTGGGAAGTGATGGGCTCAGGGATGAGGAGAGGTGGGCTTAGTGCAGAGAGCAGGCAGCTGGCTGAGCGCAGGGACACTCAGCCCCACAGGCCTTGGGGTGAGGGTGGGGGTGGGGCAGTGGAGAGTGTCCTCAGCTTTCACCCCTTCTTTAGCTCAGTGCTCTGGGGGTGTTCAGTCAAGAGGCTTCTAGGCTCCCATCTTATAAATATTCATGCCCATGCTCTCTTCATTTAGAAGTGTAGATCCAATTATTTTAATGAACACTGAAAACTTTCTCTTCCATAATAGCTTTCTCTTCATATAATGGTATGTGCGTTATGTAACACGTTGGGTGTTCCTTTGCAGATGTCTCTGAGATGTAAGAATTACATAACTCAGAAACCAAGGCTTCCGGTCACCCTAAATCTTAGAGCACAGAGAACATGCTTCATGGGAAGCCCTTAGTGTTCTTGTGACATCTCTGACATTTCCTCTGCTCTCTGGCTTGCCCTGGGAACAGCAACTGCTTTCTGATGGAGCTGGTGCCCCAGGGAAGTGGGTGGAGGCATTTCTTTAAGCAGAGGGTGTCCTGGCCAGAAGCTAGCTTGATGCAGACACTGGCTGGGCTGCAGGACAAAGGGCCAGAGTCTCTCACCTGGGGACCCAGTTTGCAGGTAAGACTAGAAGTGAGGGTGTTAGTGGATGGTCATATCGATGAGGAGTTGCCTAGGGTGGGATGGAGGCTGGGATGGGGCCCGACGAACCCCAGCAAAGGGGCACCGGAACCACGACTCTCGTTTTGAGAGGTTGCATTTGTCCTGAGGTTTTTCCAGGGCCGTGTTGGTCTGCAGGCGGAGTAAAGGAGGGCTGGGACAGGGACCCAGCCTGAGGAGGATCTGAAGAGCAAGTGAGGTGACTCACTCACAGTCGAGGGGGCTCGTTGAGGCCGAGAGACTCCACTGTGTTCTGGATAGGATGGGAACTAAACTGCAGAGGTGAGGCGTACTGATTGGTTTTGTGCGTCAACTTGACACAAGCTAGAGTCATTCATCAGGGAAGAAGAATCCTCAGCTGAGGAAATGCTTCCATGAGATCCAGCTGTAAGACATTTTCTCATTTAGTGATCGATGGAGGAGGGCCCAGCCCACGGTAGGTGGTGCCATCCCTGGGCTGGTGGTCCTGGATTCTATAGAAAGCAGGTTGAGCAAGCTATGGGAAGCAAGCCAGTAAACAGCACCCCTTCATGACCTCTGCATCAACTCTGCCTCCAGGTTCCAGCCCTGCCTGAGTTCCTGTTCTGACTTCCTCCAACTATAATATGGAAGTATAAGCCAAATAAACCTTTTTCTTCCCTACTTGCTTTTTGGTCATGGTGTTTCATCACAGCAACAGAAACCCTAACTAAGACAAGAGGGTAAGTTTCATTGTGACATCAGGATGTGGAAGGCAGGGACTTCATGGACTTAGAAAGATCGATTAAAGTCAGAGCTTTGACAACATGTGGACAAGTTTGTCCTGCTGCTCATCTTCAATAGCTTACAGTTAGCACACCATAATTGTGCAGATTGTGGGGTTCTGTATGAGACTTCAGTACAGGTTCATAATGATCAAGTCTCGTCCATCATCTCAAATACTGATTCTTCATGATAAAACATTGAAAAGATCTCTTTTCACTGTCTAGAACTATAGAGTAGGGCTGAGAACATAATGTGGTGATGAATGAGCTTTATATGAAAGATACCAAGGGTTCCATGTGCCAGGGGTGGGAATGGGGGAAACCAAATGCAAAAACAGATGGTGATGGGCTGGGCACAGTAGCACATACCTTTAACCCCAGCACTTGGGGAGACAGAGGCAGGGATAGTAGGGTATCTATGATTCAAGGCCAGCCTGGTCTTCACAGTGAGTTCCAGGTCAGCCAAGGCTGCATAGTGAAACCTTGTCTTAGTCAATGTTTTATTGCTGTGAAGAGACACCATGACCATGGCAACTCTTATAAAGGAAAACATTTAACTAGGGATGGCTTACAGTTTTAGAACTTTAGTCCATTGTGCAGTAAGTAGAAGCATGGCGGCATGCAGGCAGATATGGTGCTGGAGAGGAACTGAGATTTCTACATCTGGATCAGCAGGCAGCAGGAAGAGAGAGTGACATTGGGCCTGGCCTGAGTATTTGAGACCCCAAAGTTCCCTCATCCCTCAGTGACACACTTCCCCCAACAAGGCCACACCTACTCCAACAAGGTTACACCTCCAAGCATTCACATCTGTGAGCCTATGGGGCTCTTATTCAAACCATCACAGATACTGTCTCAAAAAACAAAAAACAAACAATATGGCATACTTTTTGCTCATCAACCAACCTCTCCCCATCCCTGCTCCTCATTCTCCCCAGCCTCTAGGAATGCCTTTTTCTCTGCTTCTAGGACTAAGCCTGTTTAGATCTACCTGTGAGTGTAATCATGTGACGTTGACCTTTCCATGCCTGTTGTGGTTTTTCACCTACCGGAATGCTCTTCAATTCCACTCATGGTGATGTAAGTCACAAGATTCTCTCCCTCCTTCCTTCCTTCTTTCTATGTCAGTGTGTCTACACACTTGTGTTCACATGCTCCTGTGTGTGCATCATTCATATGAAGGTCAGAGTAACATCAGGTGTCATCCTCAGTGGCTCCCCATCTTAGTTTTAGAGACAGGATCTCTCACTGAACCTGGAGCTCACTGATTTGGAGTAGACTAGCTGACCAGCAAATCCCTAGGCATCCTTCTCTCTCTCCCCATTCCCAGTGTCTAGATTGTAGGTGTACACAGCATGCTCTACCTGTCTATCTATCTATCTATCTATCTATCTATCTATCTATCTATCTATCTATCTATCTATCTATCTATTTTGGTTTTCTGAGACATGATTTCTCTGTGTAGTCCTGGATCTGGCTCTGTAGACCAGTCTGGCCATGAACTCACAGAGATCTGCCTACCTCTGCCATCCTGAGTGCTGGGATTAAAGACTTGGGTCCAGCTACTTATTTTTTCTTATGTGGCTTCTGGAGCATCTAACTCAGACCCTCCTGCTTGTTTGGCTAGCACTTTATTGAATAAGCCATCTCTCCATTCTCCTCTCCTCTCCTCTCCTCTCCTCTCCTCTTCTCTCCTCTTCTCTCCTCTACCCTCCTTCTGACCCCTTTTCTCTGTCAGGGTCTCATGTAGCCCAGACTGGTCTCATATTTGTTAGCAGCCAAGGATAATCTTGAACTCAATCTTTTTCCCTCTGCCTCCAAAGTGTTAGGATTACAGGCTTGTACCACCATGCTTTGCAGGATTCTGTCCTTTATTAAAGCTCAGTAGTTTTCCATTGAGAGTATGTATTACATTTTCTTATCTACTCACCTGTTGTTGGACACTTAGGTGGATTTCGTGTCCACACTGTGACTAATGCGTGCGCGCGCGCGCACACACACACACACACACACACACACACACACACACACACACACCTTTGTTGCACTGACTTCATTTCCTTTGGCTTACAGTCCAGCAGAGTGCTTGGTTTCTTAAGTGGTATGGTAGGCAAGTAGTTGAACCTCAGGGTGCGCATTGCCACATTTTCAGAGTAGGGGTGCTCATCAGCCTTGCCTCTTGGGCTTGGGAAGAATTCAGTGCAGGTTATCCTCAGCCCTGAGCCTGATGGATAAACTTCTAGATCCTCAGGCGCCATTACTTGAGAAGGCCCGGACCTCAGCTCTGCATCACATGCATGATGCATGTCTAGGCTGTTACTTGGGCTCTCTACCTCAGTTTCCTTCTCTGAAAAAGAGGCCACTGTAGTGTTCATCTCCTAGATGGTGTAGGGAATTAATTGACTTTTTTTTAAAAAAAATCATAGCCTATTGGCTGATCCCTGGAACATGTGAAATGGCGAGGGAGCTGTCACCCTCAGTGACATCTCCTTGAGCAGTCAAGGTGACTATGGGTGCTGATTAAGACAGAACAAAGTGTTGGAGTGAGGTGTGACTGGGAAGATGATGACATCAGAGAGAGCAGAGGTGGGTACACCCAGAACAGGGAGCAAGTGCCGGCACGCTGCTCCCAGGGTCGCAGCAGAGGACCTCCCCCACAGTCCTGACTGTCGAGCTCTTGGTATTGGAGAACGATTCCTACCTTCCACCCCAGAATTAAAAGAAAAGTCAAGGTTATATCAAAGACATCCAAAAAGGAAGTGAATACAGTGAGCTCCTATGTTTGTGAAGGGCTGGCTAGAGCCGTGTGTGGGACACTGGGTCCCACTATTTTGGGAGGCAGAGCTTAGGCAGAGGAAGTAGTGTGATGTGCCTTTGCAGGTTGTATGGGGACCAGGTCCCTTCCTCTCTCTGCTTCCTGTTCACTGTGATGATGGACTGAACCTCCTGCACTGTGAGCACAGGTCCATCTCCATCTCCCCGAAGATGCTGTTCTCGGTGTTTGATCACAGTAAAGCTAAGATTGATGCTGTTCTCTTTGGTAAGGAGCTCACGGGAAAGAAACCTCTGTGAGAGCAGAAGTGCAAGTTATTGTCGCAGAATCAGCGGTTTCTGTGCAACCAAACGGAGTGTGCAAAAACGTGGAGGAGGGGATGATGAAGAGGGAAGAGAATGCTCACAGGAACCAAGGATGGAAATCCAACAGCTGAAGCACGAAGGACCATGGCTGCGATGGGCATGTGGGGAGAGGACATAGTCCGCTCTAGGCAACAGAAACACAAAGAGAAATTATATATTGAAGAGGCTCAGTGCCTGCTCCCTCTTCTACATGCATAAGAGATAAACAAGAATGAGTTCACTAACTAAGCCTAGTGGCACACACCTTTAATCCCAGCACTCAGAAGGCAGAGACAGGGGGATCTCTGCGAGTTCCAGGTCAGCCTGGTCTGCAGAGCGAGTTATAGGACAGCCAGGGGAAGATACAAATAAACTTCCTTAAAAAAAAAATGGGGGCTGGAGAGATGGCTCAGTGCTTAAGAGCCCTGGCTGCTCCTCTAGAGGACCAGAGTTCAATTCTCAGCACCCACATGGTGGCTCACAACTGTCTGTAATTCCAGTTCCAGGGAATCATTTGCACCAGGCATGTGTGTGGTGCACATACCTGTGCATGCAGGCAAACTACCTGTACACATAAAATAAACAAATCTTTAAAAAGATGACTCGGTGGCTGTGGCTTTGGACAAAGTCAAGGAGATCAGAGGAGGCTTCAGAGATGAGAAAATGTACTAGATTTATCGAGAGGCGAGGCCACTGGTTCAACCCAGGACTCTTCCACCTCAAGTCAGTCCTGAGGCCTCAGCTCCAGGAGAAGCTGAAGAAGATGAAGGCAGCGGCGCTAATCCAGGAGCATTCACTTAGTATCTGTAAGATGATTGGAGGCTTCATGGAGTGGGTGCAGTGGAGGTGTCTAAGGGCCTGGTGGGTGTAATGGTCTGCCATTATCTTGATAACATAAAAGCACAGGATACCCTCCTACCCTGAACTCAGCTGCAGGGAAGCCTGGGAGTCTATATTTTCCAGAACCTTCATAGTGAGGGCCCCCTTCTGGATACTGTGGACTTTCAGCAGCATGACAATCATCAGGTTTGAAGAATACCTTTGTCTGCATCTGCATGTTCAGGGGAATCCAGATGCCACCACAGCCAGGAGCTTCGCTGG